GTGATTTCCAAGTACTATTGATATCATTGAACGACCTAAGCTAAACATCCAGTTAGAACTATGAAAGGCTGGATAGCTGTTTCGTCCTAATATGGTAATCCTCAATAGTGTGTTCACAACCTTACTGGGGATCAGACTCAGGACCTTTTGTCTCGCATGCAAACACTTGGCTACTGAGAGATAATCCTATGGTGTACCTAACTTCAACTAACTCACAAGATTCAGTAATCCCTAATCAGTTATGTGAAATACAACAGACAGACTACTTTTTTGTCCAAAAGATTGGGGATGATCCTACAGTAATCTTCACCCAACTGTCAAATATTATTAGTATTTTTTGATTTTTATCTGTGCTACTAATCTACTTATTCTCTGCAAGGTAATCAGCAACCTACTACAGTTTCCAATCACGATGGCTATCGAATCAATTCAGTTGTTCGTTTCACATCCTTGTTACCCAGTAGAAAACTATTTCGAAAAATATTTTGAAGTTATAGGGATTGAATCATAACTTTCTTACTCAGACTATTTCTTCTCTAAATTGCTGCATTAATTGAACTTTTTAGTTTCCACAGAATTACATGGTATAAGTTTTGCTTTACAGACTCAGTGTGATTGACATAGGAAAACAAATAATCTCACTTATGAGTTATTACAGTTATTGAGATTATTTTATTGCAGTTTATACTGCTAACCTGCCCTAACGTGTTTAAAGAAATTCTATAAATTTAATTATTTTTATGAGCTTATATTAGTTACAGATCTAAAACTTTATGTAAAAGGATATCGTGTCATGTATTTGAGTAAAGTGGTTAGCTGAAACGCCTCAAAAAATGAATTGTCGTCTTTAGTTCTGTTGAGAGACTGCTAATTTAAAGAGATGTTTGCTACACAGTCTCATGCTGAGGTCTGATTATTATCTAGTCTGAATTTAGAAATGTTTTCATCAAGAAGGCAGAAAGTTGTTGGAAAGAAATCGCCTTGCGTTTGGTCTAAAAATTCATAAACCATAAATGAGACAGTATATTAAGACCGTAAGTTCTCAAAAAATACCTCTGAAGTTACAAGTTGCTTAACTGATGATAAACTTTTTGCGTTATTATATTTATACATTATTACTTTATCTAACGTAGGCAGTTTTAAAGTGTTTGGTCAATGTTTTGACCAATGAAGAAAAGGCACTAGGATTACGTCAACCATTCGGTGTTGGGGCACGTCCTCGTCCTATGACAGTAGAACTTTATAATCGGGTTGATGACGATCCTAAAGATATGAAAGTAATTAGTGAACAGCCTGTGAGTAATAGATATGGATCGATTGTTTTTACCACTGCAGAAAATAACATCACTATTCCTATATTTTTATCAAACACGAGCTCGGTAAAACAAAACAATTTTAGATATAATTATTCCTCAATCACAAATCCAAAACTAACACAAGTTTTAAGTAGCAATAATTTCAACAAACCCCGCGAACAGTATTCGTTTCAAGCTTACAAAGACGATAACAACACAAGTGTGTACAATCCAATCAAACAAATAAACAGTTCAAGTACAGAAATATGGAAATATCATCTCCCTTCAAATACAACTGACGACATTGATCCCATGTCAGTCTACCAACCGTGTAAAGTGAGTTAGCCCCAAGTCGTTCGTAATTCAGCAGTCAAAATCCAGTTACCGTTTTTGATTGCTTTTTATAATGTCCAAGACATTTCGTAACACGTTTATTTATTAACAAAAGTGATATAGGACGGTAGTCTAGTGCTTAAAATACTCAGTTTACAGCTACGAAATCGTAGGACCGAACTCCACTGTACCTACTTCCATTCGGATAAACATCACTAGTCCTCACACAAACTGTGTGATAAAAAGACAATTAAATAAACTTATACCTGGTGAATGAACTATATTAATATTGGAATTATTTTATCACAGTCAATGACAAACGAATGGAAGTTCCTACACGTTTGTGCCAATAAAAATTATATTAGATATTTATATGATAGATAGGTAAAAAAAAGTATGCAGTGCATTTATATGGTATAGCAGTAGAACTGGAAATGAAATATATCCAAAATGTTACCGCTGTGTATATTAGAAACGAAATTTGGAACGATTTAGAAATAATGTAGTGAAGGCGAACATAGGTGAGGACAACCAGTTATATTAAGCAAAAAATTATAGTTACTTGTAAACTAGAAAAACCATACTCCAATACTTCATTCGCAAAATGTCCATTAATTGTCTCAGACTTCATTGTGCCAGCATTTCCATACCAATTGCTTTCTGTTGCCGTTCTTTCCTCCTCGATCTTCTCAACCATCTGCTACCAGACATTCTATTCCTGACTAGTGTTATATTATACTTATGTCGATATAAGCAGAACACACCACAGTATGACTGGTATACTTCATTGAGAATTCCCTCTTAGATGACGTATGGTAGATTATTTGATAACTGTAGAGACAAACTTCATTACATACAATGTTATTAAATATTTACAACTGTAAAACACTTCCCAATATGCCACAAAATGTTGTAGTCAGAACATATTTACCCAGAATTATCAGAGCTACTCAAGTTATCTACCAGCAATCTATATAAAGAGTAACCTTATCTAATTAATTTGAAATATTTCATTCGAAAAAAGTGACGGAAATGGGAGTATAGATATAAATGTTCTGATAGAATGAGAGATGACCTTCCATTCTAATCCAACGCTGACTGTTTTAGTCATTCAGTAAACAATCATCATGTTATTACAAAAGATTACGTTAATGTGCATAGTGAGTTGCGCACTTTTATCTGTTTGTAGCTCAACCATTCACTCCCTTTCTTTTTTTGGACTTCTGAATATAATAATCATTGTTATAATGTCTGGATGCCATTCAAAAGATTATCCACAGCATCCTATTCACTACTAGTTAATTTCGCTTCATAAGTAATTACAATGTTTTAAAATAAGAATGAACCTCAACGATTTCACATTGTTTCTATTTCAGGTTAATATTTCATTATCAGAAGGCAAGGACAATTTAACAATCAGTGATATGATTAAAAAATTTTCAGAAACGCATATTAACATTCAAAACTTTAAATGTGATTCGTTACCTAATTTAAAACGATTAGATGTAATGGAAAATAAAAAACACCAAAGCAGTGAATACGAAATTCTAAGAAGTAAAATACGTCATCTTCCGACCACATCTGAAGGTAAAAACAGTCCAGGTACTCTGTATGGTCCTCATCCTCTAAATACTGTAACTAATCATTTTGATGTTACCTATCCAACTGCTAATCATAATAACATAACAATAGGAAATGATATTGTTTTTCGTGACATCAATGATATAATCTATGCATTATTAAATGATATAAACAAAAATTATAACTGAGTTTATTTCATTATTCGACAGTGTGATTCAAGCAAGATCATATACTAGTTCATCATTTGTTATTGACTGCGTTCATCTGCACAACTTCCGTTTGTTTATATTTTAACTTGTTGAAGTATATTTTTGGTTGCTTTTGTCATTTGTTCAGTTGCATTTTCAACTTTATTCTCTCATCTCTTCGTTTACTAACTGAATGGGGAAGGGTTAATAATCAAGTGACTGATAAAAAGTACAACTTTAAAGTATTTCATTAACACCACTAGTCAGCTCTGATATAGAATGACAACATATGTTAGTTGATTTGTCTTATCACATCACTAGTAATACAAATTCTGTTCATCACGTAAAATTTAACTGAAAGATGATAAAAACAAGTTCACCGACTTATGCACATATATGAAGCTTGTGAATGGTAAACTTACGAAAACCAGTATCGTTTCAGACTTGATCATGAATGAATCGATCAAATACTCACTTCATCAGGTTTTAGAACACAGGAATACTTTCTGACATCTGGCTATAATTGTATTTCTTTGTAGACTGACAAGCTTTGTAGCAGTGTCACATATTATTCTTGACGTCATTGTAAAATGTGGAAATAAAAAACATGGCTGCCTAAATATGAAAAGCGTCATGATAAGACTATTTGAGTTATGCTTTATACGAATCAACTGTTAACATTCGACAGTCAATAAAAAGTGATATTAAAAAGAAAATGAAAATATCTTTTCTTTTTACCTTCTCTTTATGAATATACTGACTATTAACTTCGGAGTTTACCAGCGGGAATCCTGACTGTTCAATGCATTTCCAAACATGTAATTGTATACTTTAATCATCCATTATAACTTATCGTACGATCGTTAAGCGAAATCAGAATTCTGTCTTGTTTACAACTAGTGTGAAAATATCTCATTTCCTTCATTAAAAGACTAAACTACTAACTGACAAAGAATTACACTTAAGTTTATAAATAAAATTTCGTAATTAACGTGGTTAGTGAATACAAAGTCATTGTAGTATCTGTTCGTCCGAGTTATTAAGCTTATTTGAAAGCAAACCGAAGACTAAAATGAAAATAATAGGGGAGGGACGCTTAAGATGTATTAGCTGGAATCTGAGTGATTTTAAACATATCGATAAAAACAGAAGTTGGAAGGAAACATGAGTGGATAATAAAATGATGAAAGGAGGAATTCCACCTTATGAAATGAGAAGTAAAAACAGCTGTGAAAGTTGAATTTACGATGAGCATTGTCTAAAATAACTACACACATCACTCTACAAACAACAGCGAGATAGGCTGTATTCCAACTTTATCGGATAATTTGCTTCCGTCATTTAGTTGGAAGTAGTCAAAAACATGGCTCATTAAAAAATTCTAACAACCTTTATGCATTGCTTATTTTATAACTTTATGAAATTATTTTTTCTATAATGCTGGTAAAGTTGTTCTAAACCATAACTATTGTATGTAACAGTGATGTTTTCAAGTATATTGCACAAGGTTAAGTCGTGTTGATACACCTAATTGGAGAAGCTAACTAATAAGGTAAATAATATGTTATGTTTTACTATATTCCATTTAGAATCTAAAGAAAATTTATGATAAAGGAAGTTGTTTATTTTTTTAATAAATAAATTATGTACAATTTATCGTATGAAAACAGTGGAAAAGTAATTTATTTTAGTCGCTTTCCTCTTCATCACTTATTTTCGCTCTTACTTTCTTACGTGATCGAGGTTCTGATATCTGTAAAAAGAAAAATAAGACACCCTCGTTGGAATGCAGAATGCTTGTTAAGAACAAAAAATACATACACTTTATTCCCAAATATTCCTTCCGTCTTCTTAACTAAGATTTGAAATTATACACATGCTTAGCGAAGCAAGAAAAGTAGTTTCTTCGTAAAAAGTGGTTGTATCTTCCTTAACTAAAAGATTTCTTCTGATTGTACCTTTCCGTTCCCCCGTTATTACTATTATTATTATTACACTACCTTACACCAATCTCTTCGTTATTGTTCTGTTTTTGCGCTCCATACCTTTTTTTCCTTCTCTCTAAATTCTCATTGTTTTGTGTGGCGCATATATATTTGGCGCACTCTTATGCCAATATTTATGAGTTCAAATAAATAAATAAACATGCTAAGCGAACTACATGAAGCTTAGAGATAATATGAAACGTTTTACAATGAGGTAATCAGAACTAAGATTCGAATCAATGACCAAATAGGTGGAGATAAATTGTTTGAAGCACTAATGTACAGATTCTCGTGGGATTAAAGTTACATTAATTCTAAGAACTAGTAACAATTTGAAGTGAAAATTCCAACGAGAAAACAATTAATTTTTCTGTAACTAAATCTAGTATATCCAGCCTATAAATTTATTCCAAGTCAGTTTAATATTACTATACCTGAGAATATTTTAATTGACCTATCCATTTCTCGATCTGTTTAAAGTCATATTTTATTTACATGTTGAATTACCTTCACTAATAACAACCAAGTTCTACATACATTTGCATGTGATATTTCATAGTTAAACCAATCGGATGAAAGATATGTAGATATTACCATAGTGCATTACTTCAGTTATTACAACTTACATCACTTAGAGATTCCTCATCAGATGAATAAATTGCAGCAACATCTGAAGTGATTGAAAAACAATACAAAAAGTATTACTTAATACGACAGAAAAAGTAGAAAAAATTCTAAAAATTAAGAGCATGGAATATTAAACAGTCATTATGAGAAATATAGCCTGTTTGTTGATATGAGAATGAGGATACAGATTACGCGAGTGGTCAGTCAGTCAGTCAGTCAGCTACAACGTAGGACCAGGCACATATGTGCATCGGTCCAGGTTGCCATACCTCATTAGCACAACAAGATGAACACCGGATTCATAGGAGTGGTTAGGTCAAAGGTTGCAACAAGGATAAAGTATAGAAAGAAAGAATTAGTTCGTAGAAAGAAAGATATGAAGTGATTTTAATCTCTTAGTTTAAGGGAAGACAAGGAGTGCATACGCGAGTGGAATATTTAATGGAACGAGATCACAGGAAAAGCAATGACGTGTGTTTACCTAACGTGATCTTAGTCTTGTAATCGATCATTAATAAACATTATCATATATATGAGCTATTAGGTAGATTACGCACCATTTTATAGGCACTCTGAAATTTTTACCTGTGTTCTCAGTAAAGTAAATCTCCGAATAGATGGGCTGACATATTTTTTATGAGGAATGCCAACAAAGTAATCCTAAAATTTAATTTACCTTTACGTGCAGCCAACAATGAGTTTTTCGCATTTCTTTTTAATGCATTTAGAGATGTTGTATTACCATCATCCTCATCATCATCCTCTCCGTAACTTCGCCTACGTTCACTACCAAAACTACTTCTTGACATGGCCTGCTTTTCACGCATACGCCGTAACTGACTTTCGCGTCTGAGTGTAGCACGCAATTTCTCCTCCTCTTTCCTCACAAGCACATTACGATTTGATTCTGGATCAGCACCCGTAACAGGAAGAATTTTGACCTAAGTTGAGATAATATATAGAGTAAGAAACTTTGGAAGTACAATAAGTAACAGAAAAAACGAAGTGTGTAGTAGATAAGATATTAAACTCGAGAAAAAGAAACACTGTCAGTTTAACCATAGATTTCGAATTTTCGTCATAGCTTCATCGATCACAGTTCAAACGGATAAGTGACCGAAACAACACTCAATTAACAAGTGTATATCACAGATTCGTCTATACATTTCAGTAGTTTGTGAACATGAGTCGACTTTAATCTGTTTCCAACCACCGATTGCTTCTCCATACTGCCTTGAAACTTTTGTTCTAAGTTGGGATACATATTAAGATATGTTAAGTACGAGTACGTATAATAATATAAATGATTTACCCAATACAAATTCATATTCACAGCTTTAAATCAAACTTTTATTGTCAAGGCTAGTGATACTACTCGGTTGTCCAAACCGAAGTGCAATAGTTTTCGAACCCGAGGTTTCGCTGGTTAAAAAGGCACATTTTGCATCAGGTTAAGTTACCACATAACTCAACAACATTCTTTGTATTGATATATGAAAATCGTTGAGAACAAAATTAAGATATTGTCTGGTAATTGCTAACAATAAAATCTAGATATCAAATCTTATTTTATTTAGAATTGTTAAGGACGAAGCAACCTGAATCCTGGTACTAATATGTAATCTCATAAGAAATTAAGGGTCGTAAAAAATGCTCTGTGAAAATAATGGCTAACCAATTTTGTCTAGTAGATTGATAATAGGATGTATCAAGTTATCGAAATCCAATACAATTCGCGTATCAGTTGGCCAGAGTAATTAAATAACCTGTAAGATAACCATCGGGTTTCAATCAACGGGTGTTGCATATAGGCTTCAGTGGGAACACGAAAATTCTAGATGCAAATCCACACAATTCGAGGAGCCTAAATGTTACAAAACTTGGCTCTTGTGTGTTATTGTCATCCAACTTCGAATAACATCAAAAAGAATTTCAACTAAGAATATTGGATTATAAGTCATGAATTTTAAACTTAAAATATGCAAGCAAAGTTAAAAAGGATCCATAATAAATGGTATATCTATACGAAACTAACAGATTTTCATAAACAGGCAATAATTTTATAAATTATAAGTGAACTAACCTTTTGTAGTTTATTTGTCTTATCTGCTAGTGATAATGTGATTTTACGATGCGTAAATGAATCTGTTGAATGTGGCCTATATGTTGTAAAAATATAAATACATTAACAAGTTTATTTCAATCATAAAATAAAGTTAATAAATAAGAAAATTTTAGTTCAAGTTGTACAATAATGTATCTAATTTAAAATTCATCTCTGTTATGATTAAATTATTGCCTATTTTTATTAAATGTCATTAGCCGGATAAGACAAATAAACTAAACATCAGGTAATTGTTCTAAAAAATTTTTGGGTCAACACATTAGTTGGCTTACCAAAAAAAATATTACATATTTGTATACCTTGTTATTGTGTAAAGGAAGAGATCGCTTCATGTAGACTCAACCAATTGGGATTTTTTTATATTACGGTTAGAAAGTTAAAGAACAAGCTACGAGTAAGAAGGTACACTGTTGTTATAACGAATAAATTCTATATGTTTAGTGTCTGATAAGTTAGACTATCAATGGGATGAATTATCAAAAAAACAGCTTATCTATAGAATAGTCAGAAGCTTAAGTGCACAACATCAGTGGTTACTTCTATTTGTGCAGAACGACAGTGAAAGCTTTGGAAATGAAACTACTCAGCTTATATAACTCGACAGTTTTAAAATGCGTTGATCTGAGCAAAAGTGTTCTTTAATACATTGAGTCATTAAATTCTTTTTATTTATTTATTTATTTGAAAACCTAAGCATTAGTACAATGAGGCACCAGAATATATATGCACGACACAATATACAATACAACAATAGACATCTATATTGGGACTTTCTAAGAACAAGGCCAACCCTATCTGTTGTCCGACCTGAATTAGTGTGTTGACGTTGAAGAAAGCCAGTTTGAATGGCATACGTGGTTTTAGAAAGGCTGGTTCAGAATTCGTAGTCGGTAGTAGCATTCAATCTGGCAGTCAGTGAGTTGAGATCATTTAGATAGAAAAGGGCTTCCACCATAGATGAGCAACTTCAGCCTTCTTATCAAGGCAACAGCCATTTGCACTGACCGATATTAAACGCGTCATAAATTCTTAAGTCAAATTTTGAAAAGATCAAACCAATAAGGATCCTTTTTGTCGGTGTCCAAAAATAAGATTAATTCAAAGTAAAAGAACGAATTATACGATTACACACAAACCTGAATGTTAATTTGGTTTTTAAACTTGACTGTCCTTGTAAACCACTACCTTCTCGTATGAACAGATAATTATAGTCTGACTGAATATCTACTTTGTGTATGTCGAAAATTTCGTCCCCAAGATGTAGCGACAGAGAACCATCCGACCAACGAACAATACGAGCATTTGATTCGTGAATCATTTCACCATCAGGTGTCTTACCAATCCTCCAACGTATAGTATTTTCGACCTAAATTATTAAAAGATCTCTATGAAAACGCACTCATGTAGTTGCAGACATAAATATGCTTGGATAGAAATCCTATCAAATTTCCGAATGCAGTAAAATAATAAATTAATACGATTTGTTTCAGTATAAAAAGGAACACATAAATGAGCTAATATGAGAGCTTTTGTTGATGACTTACACTTTATATAATGAGATGAAAACATAGTAACAAATTGTACTTTGTAAGCAGAGATTATACTTTACTTATTCGAGAATGTTAGATAAAAATTTTAAGACTTAACACTAGAGAGGGATTAATCAGTTTTACGATTAGGTGTTGATTCGAAGTGTTGGAGACGTTAGATCCGCAGAACTGACTTGAGAAAGGACCTAATTTTGTAATTTTATTTAGAAAATTTGAATTTCTTTGTCACCTTCATGTCGTATTTCCCACTGGGAAATATCTTAAATGCTATTGGTCCGTTGCGTCTTTTAGTATGCTATTTGGTAACTCTCCCAAAGGACGGTTCACTGAAATTTTGTGATATAGCTATTAACATTCGTATTTACTAAAAACCACCAAGACCTAATTACTGAGTATATCATATTTTCCATACTCCAAACTTAGACCTTACATATCGCACATTATGAGCTGTTCTACTTAGATGGTACAAATCATACTGATTTTAGTACACCGCTGTCTGAAAAAATAAGTGAGATACTGTTAAATGAGTCTTATTTACATATGCGAAGTTGAGGAAGAAATTTATCAAAATAATGATTTATAGAGTTAACAAAAGGAATCATACTTTTAGTTTCAAACGTGTTCGTCCTTCTTCATCTAAAATTTCATCTTCATCCAGTTCATCTTCGTAAAAGTTAGGGTCGAACGGACGAGTTTCAACCGACAAAAAATTAGGCATTTTTACCAGATGTACCTCCCTAATCGAAAAACAAATACAATTAGTTTTGAGGTAAGCAAGATCTGCTCGTTGGATGAGGTTTTTACTTTTTATTCACAAGGATCATTAAAAATAAAGTCAGATAATATAAAGAAATTCAGAATGTGTAAAAAATAATTATTTTTCACTTAACATTCTTCCGAAATATTTTTGCATGTGACTGGTCTCTCTGCTATTAAGACAAGGATTTTTTTGAGATAATAAATCCCTAAATTACGACTAAAATTACAAACTGCTAACTAAAAACTCATATCTAAAGGTAAGTCACATTTATTTACCGAAATAGATGATGGCTTTAGGTCAAAGGATTCAGTTACAGCTTCACGTCAGAAAATATGCTTTTGTTACAGAGTTATTACTCCATCGATTCATTTGCGGTCCCATCTCATGTCTACCTGATTTTCTCTGGCCTGGTGTTCTCAAGCTCCAGTTAAACATAAAATGATTATAGAGATCAAGGTCTTAAAAGTTATTGCGTCTGAGCTGATTTATCAAAAGAATTTCGATCCGTTCTTATAAAATGGGTCAATTCATCTATGACTAGACTTGAATTTGACTGATTCTTTTCGGAAAATCTACGAAACGAAGAAGGCCGACGATGAGCTGGAAGAATTTGAGTTCTGTAGAAGACATCCAGAAAGCCTATATTTCCCTGTTATTTTATGTCTGGAATTCATAAATTACACAGACTCGCTTCAGTCTAATTTTGAGGAGACTAGTAATCCTACCTGAAAAGCCAAACCGAATTAGACTCAATGAAGTTTCAGTTTTTACATTAATGGTTCTAAGTCAACTACTTTTAATATCCGGTCACAACTTCTATTGCGTGAAAAGCATACTACTTCCTGATGGACCAGAAGAAAAAACTACGTTAATAATGGTGGTTTTACCAACCTGGTAACTTCACTATAAAACCCAAGCTACAGGTATTTAAGACCGATTACATACAGATCGTTCTAAGCTTTCAATTTTGCAGTGTCGAGTCACTAGTTGGACACACAAGTACAACCCAAAAGGATTCGATAAAATCAAGGAAAACCATGAGTGGAACCATAATAAACTTAGGATTTAGAGGAAGATGAAGAGTGAATGCAAATGGGTCACTGTGAATGATTTTGAAGTATGAAACAGTCAGTTAGCTATAAAGTAAGGCCTGAAGAAAATGTGTATTGGTTGATACATCACGCTAGTACAGAGATTAAATTAGCAAGATAAACGCCAAAGGAGTAATAGTTGTCTTCACTATAATTGCAAAAAGGAGTAAACAAAATACGGTCTAAAAATGCTTAAAAAGGATCTAAGGAACAAAGAACACGACATAATATTGAAGCTGAGAATTAAAGATGGATCTGCACCACTTCAACCGATTTGGAGTCACGCTACCTAGTTTTAAATCTTTATCGTGTGGTTATAATTAGCACAGTTGAGCGAGTGGTTAAGAACACACCGTATGGACGATTGAAATATCTTTAAGATGGTTTTAGACTGAATGACATGTGTAAGCTTACACTATATGGCTTTGAAAATTAGTAGCTTTGGATAATTCATGTATATGTTTATTCGAAAATTCAGCTAAGGTCATTACGATTAAAATCAGCTGAAAAAATAATTAATGTCCATCACTATACAACGAAAACCCCAGAAGTGACAAATCCGTTTATTCTCAGAAAGTACTCTACTACAGCTACATTATATTTAATTACTTTTTAATGCCAAAAAGTCTGTACCTGCCTAAATCCGCACGAATCAGTGGAAAGTCAACAGATATTCTTGTTTCGTCCGGTTCATGCGCCAAATCATCCTCTACATCGTCAGTATTACTTCTATGGCCTTCATTATCATTAGAATTGGCCATATCATCTAATTGTGACCCATTGTCACCCGTCTCACTACCATCATCTTGCCGAGAACCATTATTATTAGGACTACTAGAAGAGGATCGGATATCTTGAAGTCTTCTTTTCAAAGAATTTTGGCTAGGTGAGTTATCTGAATCGTTTTCTGTTTCCTGTTGTTCCGAAGCGTTGTCATTAAGTTGATTTTCGTGGTCTGATTCTTCGGAACTATCCTGTAACAATCAAAAATGTAAATTCTTAAACATTTAGCTGTCCAATACAGGCTACATAGATTTTTGAATGGGAAACAAAAATATCCTACCAGTCATACACATGTTTATATTGCCAAGTCAGTGTAGACAGAAAATGTCCATGTATTTGGGTAGTATATGACGTGCGGTTCAGCTGTTTATAAGACTGTTTAGCAATTCTACCCCACCGTATGAGGCTCAAACTAAGAGAGACGTAAATGCTGGTTTTAGGCTGACTGCACTTAAAGTTTTGCATATTACTAACAGAAACCTTAGCTAAAAATGTGTAATATATGGGTTGTAAAATTACATGTACATTAGAATACCTATAAACTAACTTGCGGTTTTACGCTTATGGTTGGTCTTATCGAACCCAAGCTATACTTTGAAGAGATCAGTAGCTATACCCCCGTAGTATATTCATGTTTAGTTTTAAGGATTAAGGCTGACAGTAACTACCATTATTCAATTACCAATTATTAATATAAACTTTCATAGAGATTAGTGCTCAAACCCAAGTCGATGGAATGGCGTTCGAATATGTAGCTTAAGGAATACTTCAATAACTGGGATAATGCCCCTCTGTATCAAACAAACATAAAATAAGCTCAGTGACAAATAGGTGTTATTTTATGATACAGATACGTATAAAAGAAGCTGAACTATCAAGTAGTGTTGGAATTATATGTAGCGTTAATAATTTAGTAAATGTAAAGGCGCTAGCTCAGTCAGTAAAAACGTAAAACTTCGTACGTACGTACATCAGTTCGAGTTGCCACACCACATTAGCACAGAGATGCAGTGGTCGATTCAAATCCCGTGGTGGTAGAGGTAATAAGAGTATAAGCAGTAATCGAGAAAATTAGTGTTTGGAGATGTTATTCAAAGAGTACAATACAGTGAAATAAATTTGGGAAGAGAAGAAAAAGAGACAAGGAGGAATAAAGAGATCGAAATTTGCGAGAACACAAAGAGTGTATGCACCTGCGCCATTGCAAACGATTTTGAGCCATGTCATTCAGGGTCTCTAACCACCGGATGCCATCATCTCGCGGTCCCCAACCAGGTAGTCTACACCTATCAACATGACTCAGTTCACTTGTCAGTGACTTCATGGACTTGTGCCATGTTTTGGTCTGGCCGCCTCTAGCTTTCTTCCAACCTACTCCTATAACACTGAACATAGCACGTCGAGGCAGTCGGTCGTTGGGCATACGTAACACGTGTCCCAGCCATCTCAACTGATGAAGTTTCACTACTTCATCAATTGATTTGCCATCCTTACCTAGTACCCGTTTCCTAACAATTGTGTTACTTACTCGATGGTCCCATGATATACGAGCAATGTTTCGAAGACACCTATGATCGAATACTAGTAATCTACGGATATCCTCTACTCTTACCAGCCATGTTTCACTGACATAAAGTAGGACGGAACGAACTGCTGCGCAGTAAACACGTCCTTTGGGTGATAGACAGATATCTCGTCTACACCATAAATGACGCAAATTGGCAAAAGCTAGTCCAGCCTTCTGTATCCGTGCTGAGATTTCATCACACACCAGACCACAAGGGCTGATGAGACTTCCAATATAAGTGAAGCGGTCGACACACTCAACTACTTCACTCCCTATCACTAGTTCGGGTGTCGATGTAACCCAATCCTGAAGCAACATTTTGCATTTCGAGGGAGAGAATCGCATCCCGAACATGCTTGCATTGTTGCTTAGAGTGGTCAGAAGACTCTGCATTTTGTCAGCGTCTTCACCAAATAAAACTATGTCATCTGCATATTCTAAGTCAACAAGTGAACCTCCTGGTAGAAGTTCAACCCCTGTAAATTTAGATGAGGAAAATTTTATCTCTAAAATTACGTCGACCACAAAGTTGAACAAGAATGGGGAGAGTGGACAGCCCTGACGAACACCACTTGAGGTAATCAATTCTGATGACAGTTTTGCCATAAGCTCTCACTCTACCAGTTGTGTTCGAGTAGAGAGCCTTTATAAGGTTAATGTACTTCTCTAACACCTCAGTCAACCTCGCTGCTTAAACTGGACCGCCATTCTTAAAAATCTCAGGGGTAAACCTGTCAGGACCAGGGCGCTAGCTACATAAGGAATGATACAGTGTTTATTAATTTTGCTGTCTAGTACATCCTACACGTCCACGAATGGTTATTTGGATAGGAATTAAACAATACTAGTCATGCATTTTTTACAGCAATAATGAGACGCGCATCACTGAAATATAGCAATTTTAAAACCGTAGGACTTTAAATGCACGTTTAGAGGAATTAATATGTCCTAAGTGTACCTTAAGATGCTGAGGTTAGTGTGAATGTCAATTAAATATGTTTTAGTTACAAGCGTAGTCTTCAAAACGTAGTAAGCCTGCTTGTAGTTTGAATGATTGGTAATACAGTTTAGATGGTGAAGAGATGGTTTTTAAAATTGCACACCTTTTAAAACTAATTCCTGAAGGAGGTATGATTCTCGAGTGGACTAATGAAGGAGAACTCCCCCCTCCATAGTTTTATAACTTGCGTTTGCCTAATTCATTTATGATTAATACTACCATTCACACATCTTTACTTATTTTTATTATTATTAATCTTGTGAACAAGTGGGGAATTTAATTAACACTCGATCCACTTTACCATTTCTTACTTAATCCATATTAAATGATTCACTGCGCAATATTTAAGTAAACATTGAATCTACTCTCACTCTATGTTATATGAATTTATTTGTATTACTGGCCTCGTAATTTTAATTGATCTATAAACAGATTGTAATTAACACCGAATACTAATCATTTCGACACTAAGAAGGATTATTCATTTGTATTCCGCTGGGTGCAGGGATCGTAATCACATCATCCTCCTCGACCCATATTAAGCATATTTATTCTGATCACTGATCCCACAACTTCATTTTCGTTCTTTTTTTTAATCTTCCTAACTGATTAAATACTGATCAATCGTACTCCCCAACATCAGTGGGAAGATTGACGCAATCAATACGAACGAACTAATACTGGAAGACTTCAATGTACGTTTACAGGAATTAGAATATCCTACATGTGCCTTAAGATGTTGAAATTAGTGCGAATGTTTCGCAGAAACAAAATAATGAGTGAAAAGATGTCGACAGTGGTGTATCCTTCGACAGATCCAAGAAATAAGCATAGATCGATCGCTATAAATTCCATCATAAATGCTTAGTCAAATCTCTTGACGTCTCCCTAAACATTAATTCATCTATATGGAAAAAAATATGAGCTACAATGGATAGATTGATATACACATAATGAGTCTCACTTCTTTAAAACGTGGTTGTTTATGCCTTGGTTGTATTTCTTTATCACTATCTTTACAATTAAATGGAGATATATAACAAGATTATCTAACCAGTATCATCTCCAAAAATATTCCTCTGTGTTACACGATTTCGTTCCTCACCATCACTAGACGAGTTGAGGTCTGAAGATTCATCTCTTTCTTCTCCTGTTTGTTATTTTACTCGTCGAAAGAAATACAGCTTACCAATTGGAGCACTGCCGTCAGATACATCTGAATCATAGTCTAACACCATATTTCTAACGTAACGCCTAAATCTGGAACAGCCGCCTTCAAACGGTTCAAATGGTTGTGGTCGGAATAGAAGGAGCTTCTGCTTAACAGGCTTCCGTGTCTAGTAGCAGAAGATCACGAATAACTCCAGGCCGGAACCTAAGTATGTTAACGATGAAAGAGGAAAAAGAAATTGGTAAATCATAGTATGAAACTATCCTTAGACCTTAAGAATAGATAAAGTTGCCCCTTAAAGGACTCCTGGTAAGTCGCTTGGACTAACTCGTCCGGCAGCGAATTCATGCATTTTACAACTTTTAAGGAGTAGAAGTTGTGTCTACAGTCCGTTCTGATATGTTGTGTCTCCAATTTCTGGGTATTACCCCTAAGGTTAGTATTGGGACTAAGCTTAGGTAGGTGTTTAAGAGGATGTCCAGAAGTCTTGAGGATACTGTGAGCCATAAGGTCACCTCTAATGATTCAAAGTTAAGTGATTAGAGGCGCTCTTCATATGGTTTGAATTTGAGTCCATGGACTGATTTCGTGGCTCACCGTTGGATACGCTCCAGGGTTTTCTTATCCTTTTGGAGTGAGGGGGGAGTACTATGTTTCCGTACTCTAAATGGGGACGGATAAAACTGTTGAAGATTAACTGGAAAGTTCGTCCGTCAAACTGTCTAAAAATGCGCTTCAACGTTACCAGTGCAAGGTTTGCTCGGAAGGCATTTTTGTCACAGTTAGCGTAAGACTTCAAATCATATGGCACCAGGACTCCTAAATCTTTTTCGACTTGGGATACTACTAGAGAGGAGTTTCCTAAGTTGTAACTGTAGTTTGCGACATGTCGCAGATGGACTAGTTTACACTTTGAAGTGTTAAAGGTAATTCCTTTATCGTCTGCCCAACTTTGAAGTCGAGTCAGATCCTCCTGAAGTGCCTGTATATCGTCTTGGTTGCGTATCTCTCTCCGAAGTTTCACGTCGCCGGCAAAAAGTAATAAGTCTGACGTTACCTGTTGAGGAAGATCATTTATGTAGATCAAGAAGAGAAGAGGCCTTAGTACTGAGCCCTGGTGGACCCCAATAGGACATTCCATAGCCTGAGATAAAGTGAAGTTAACCCTGACCTTAAAATGTCGATTTTTTCAGATATGAAATTAGACAATCATTTAGAGGTGGTCTGATACCCAATCGTTTGAGCTTATTGATAAGACACAAGTGGTTAACCTTATCAAAAGCTTTTGAGAAATGTAGGTAAATGATACCAACCTTCCCCTTGTGATCGAGGATGCTTGTCCATCTGTCCACCGCAGTCAGCAGGTTGGTTGTACAAGAGTCACCCTTCCTGAAACCATGCTGTAGGAGTGAGAAGTTTAAGGGTAGTAAATAGTCATGCATATCACCGCATATCAGGGACTCCATGGTTTTTGAAGGTATAGAGAGAAGAGCCACCGGTCGGTAACTTGAAGGTTCGCTGCATTGACCTCCTCTGAAAATTGGTGTGATGTGAGCAAACTACCAATTCTCCAGAAGTGTGCTTCCGCTTAGCGAATGTGAGAACATCACGCTAAGCGGCGTTGCCAGGATTGAGGCTGCTTGCTTAGTATAGCAGAATGAACCATATCTGGGCCAGGAGAAATGTCTTTTCTTAGGTGCTGCAGTTTCCAAAACACCAAGTCAGCGCCCTGGTTCACTACGGAAAGTCCTGTGCAGTTGCAAATGAAGCTGTCCTCAGTATAGTTGATGTAGGTCGGTTGAAATGTCCGAGAGTATTGTTCAGCCAAAAGGTTAGCGGCGTCGCCGTCGTTATTGGTCGGGCTATTAGGACCTGGCAGTTGTGAAACTCCAGTTTTGGCTTGACGAAGAGAGGCTGCATAATGGAAAAAGCTCTTCGGATTGGAGACAAATTTACACATAAGCTTTATCTAGTACTGAAACCTGTATTCTCTTATAGCCTTCTTGCATATGTTCCTGATATGTTTGTATTGCCTGTACGATCCATTGTTATCAGTTCGCTTGTATTCTGCCAACAGTGCCTTTTGCGGCTTACCGGGCGAAGAGGGCTGTTCTTGATGATTGCAGGTTGCTTATGGCTTTTGAGGACGGTTTGAAGAACTGAATGCTTTGTAGCACACAAGAGCGTGTGCGGTAAGAAGTCATAATCAGTATCCACACCTAGTTGAAGCTAAATATCCCAATCCGCCTGTTGTACACAATTCTGTGGAGCTAACACAATCAACCGTTTAGAATTCCTTTTTCCACGGTAGTCCTAATATAAGCGGGAAGGTCATTTCTGTAGGATCAGCCGTACAAAAGGTTATCCTTAAAATAAATATTCTTAGCTTCATTTTTGCCATAGGGAAGTTAGCTTGAGGTGTATGTATTGGAAGTTACAATCAAGTATGATAGATGACCAGCAAATAAATCGTTATTAAATTACTACAACAAAACGTTCAGGAAGATAAGCCTTGCATTTGAACGACTGTTTTCCATTTTAGTGACTTAACGGACAGGCGAAGTTGGAGAACCTCCATTTAAATATATGGTTTTTAATACAGACATGTAAAACGCACATAGCTGTACCTCGCTTTGAGTCACGATATCTGACTGAGCATGTGTCAGTCAAAAGCATTCACCAACTGTCTTGGTTAATTTGTACCCAGTCGTGTAATGAGCTTGAATGTCCCATATGTAAATCCTTCCAATATTTCTTTGTTAGGTAGCCTGTTTGTTCATCTATCTGTTAGTCATATTCCACTTGTATATTGATGTATAAATACCTGAGATATGTAGACTAATTGATACTCTAAGCACTGTGGAATCATTTATATAAAATCTAGGTTAGATCGGTCTAATGCAGTCTTGGACTTATTTCACCATTATATAATTGAGGGATATTCTGTTACGCTTGTTTTTTCTGTTGTCATACGACTGCTGGTTACTCTGAGTTCCAGTGTGAATACAAATTCAACTCAATTGCAAAAAATTTTAATTGTTGTGTTCTTTCAATGCCACTATTGTTTTTGTTCACTTGCCTCTTACTTACTTACTTACTTACTTACTTACTTACTTACTTACTTACTTACTTACTTACTTACTTACTTACGCCTGTTACTCCTCGTGAAGGATCATAGGCCGCTCACCAGCATTCTCCATCCAACCCTGTCCTGGGCAATCCTTTCTAGCTCCTTCCAGTTGTTATTTATCCTTTTCATATCTGCCTCTATTATCCGACGTAATTCGTTCTTTGGCCCTCCTCTTTTCCGCTTCCCTTCACAATTCCAAGTTAGGGCTTGCCAAGTGATGCAGTCTGATGATTTGCGTAATGCATGTCCTATCCATTTCTATCGTCTTTTCCTAATTTCTTCTTCAGCTGGAAGCTGGTTTGTTCTCTCCCACAAAAGGCTGTTGCTGATGATATTCGGCCAATGGATGTTGAGTATCTTGCGAAGACAGCTATTTATAAATACTTGTACCTTCTAGATGATGGTTGTTGTAGTTCTCCAAGTTTCAGCTCCATACAGTAGAACTGCCTTGACGTTCGTATCGAAGATTCTCACTTTGATATTGGTTGAAAGTTGCTTTGAGTTCCATATGTTCTTCAATCGTAGGAATGCGACCCTTGCTTTGCCAATTCTCGCCTTTACGTATGCATCTGAGCCTCCTTGTTCATCGATGATGCTTCCCAGGTATGTGAAGGATTCTACATCTTCCAGAGTTTCGCCATCAAGAGTGATTGGATTCTTGTTCTCCGCTTTGAATTTGAGGACCTTGGTTTTCCCTTTGTGTATGCTGAGGCCTACTGATGCAGAGACTGCTGCTACACTGGCTGTCTTTATCTGCATCAGTTCGTGTGTATGCGATAGGAGGGCTAGGTCATCTGCGAAATCCAAATCGTCTAATTGATTCTGAGCTGTCCATTGTATTCCGTGTTCTTCTTCAGATGTCGAGGTCCTCATAATCCAGTCGACCATCAGAAGAAAGAGGAAGGGAGAGAGTGAACAGCCTTGTCTGACTCCGTTCCTTACTTGGAATGCATTTGTCAGCTGTCCTCCATGCACTCGCCTCTAATCACTTCTATTTTACTTCTGTCGTTTACTACTACTGAACATGCTAGTTATTCCAATCATTTAGATATATATCCAAAGACGTCTGGATACTGATTGACACTTAATCTCTTTGTCCATTGTCGTCAAGTTCAAAGATAATAAAGATGGATGAACAATGAGTCATATACTGAAAAAAAGCGTTTTCATCAACTGTATATATTACTTATTTAGAGCCTATCAATTGTCACTCCGTCCCTGACGAACCATCCATCAGCCTGAACTGTTTCTACCCTAGAAGACAGATCGTTGGCGGTTAAACAGACTAGCGAACGTTGTCAAGGTCAAGGATAACTAACACGGATCAATCAGATTTCTCTTTATGGACTGGCTCATGCATTAGTGGCCACATTCTGTTTCGCCAATCTTTTCTTACTGACACATTTCTTCAAAAAGGTCAAGCTTTCTCTGAACGGTCATCAAAGTAACGGCAGTACTTGGGTAACATGAAAGGACAATCCATTTTAGGTATCAATCACAAAGTGCTACATCAACCTAAGCTAGGTCACACTATCCCCGCCCAATTCAAGTAGACAGCAACCATCCACATCGGTCATCTGCACTGGTGGTTCATACTCACATGTGAGGTAAATGAAGTCCTGCTAAGCAGTCTCAATATATGGTTACTAAGTTGTTGATATCTAATCGTAGGAGACTTTAATGCATCCATGGTAGACTGAGAAATTTTGCGAACTGAATCGTCAGACAATTCCTCCGAGCAGGAACTAGTTGATGCGATTATCACATATGCCCTGGTGCCATATGTGAAAGAAGCGACTAGGTACAACCCGGACTCTGAATCATCCTTATTAGATCTTATAATGACCCATTATGAGGATGACATCACGAACCTCTACTACTTGCCACCCCTGAGAATTACCGACCCGTAAGCCTAACTAGCGTGGTTGTTAAAATCTTAGAAAAGATTATTCGGAAGCAGCTGTTTAAGTGTTTCGATAAAAAG